AAAAATTCTATATAATATGTAGTCGATGTGGCTTTTTACTCCAATTACGAAACGGTGCGTAATTATGAACGAATTACACTAACAATCTCTATAGTTTAGGACTCGTGTCACTTTGGTCCTTAGCTTTGTGCCCAACTTCTTGTTGATTGGTTAAAGGTTTGGGATCTAGTATTTTTTGTTAGGATTGTAAGTAATTAGTGGTGTAAAACAATATTCCAAGACTACCTAATCATATAAAAGCAATGTTAAACAATGTTTGGTTGAAGAATTTGATAAGGTAAATGAAACAGAAAAAAAAAAAATGCAATCCCACTTTTTTGAATTTGACTTGTCAAATTCTCTAACCAAACACAACATTCAATAAACTCTCAAACCAAACCCGACTTAAAAACTCAATAAAAATTCTATATAATATGTAGTCGATGTCGCTTTTTACTCCAATTACGAAACGGTGCGTAATTATGAACGAATTACACTAACAATCCCTATAGTTTAGGACTCGTGTCACTTTGGTCCTTAGCTTTTTAATTGTGACGCATTTGATCTTAAATTTTAAATCTTGTTCCAAATAAGGACAATTGATAATACCATTGTTCAATTTCAAGAGTAAAGTCGTCAATTTGATAAAATATAAATTAATTTGATAAAAATAATTGTCAAAAAAATATTTTTGAATTTTAAAAAATTATTTCTACTGACCAAAGATAAAATTATGTAAAATTGATAAATCATTTACGCATTTATTTATTTTACCAAATTAATTTTTATTATGTGTTTGGATGATGATCATGTAATGTGTGGTTGTTAGATTTTTAATATGTAATTAATATATTTAATATATGAAATGTTTTTATTTTTGGATTTTTTGATTTAATAGATTGATTTAATAATGCTATCAAAATTATCGCTATATTTGAGTTTTGAAAAAATATAAACTAATTTAATGAAAATAAAATTTACCATCCATTACATGATCACATCCAAACACATAATAATTTTTAAAAATTCAAAAATCCACTACTCACGTGCGTAACCTACACATGTGGACTCCACCCGCATAGTTATGTAAAATGTATCCATTTGGTTGTGTTTTGAAAACATAATTCTACACCTAAATTTGAATATCATGTTTGGTAGGAGTTTTAGAATCAGTTTTCCAAAACTCTGTAGAGAGCTCTGTCTCAGGCGTGCTTTTCAGAATTGTTTTTTTTTGCAAATTTTGCCTAACCGGTCGTCCGGCCGGTCGACCAGAATAGTGAATTTTTTTTTTTTTTTTTTTTTTTTTTTTTTGCAATTGATATGTTAATTTTTATATAATCGAAAAAAACAATTTTTGAATTTTTTTAAATTTTTTATGTGCTTTAAAATAATTTTGAGTTATATGTTTGGTTATGAGTTGTAAATTTTTGTATCAAATATCAAATGTCACATCAACAATTCTCCACTCTTTTCAAAACTCTTTATCAAACAAATTTTTCACACTCAAATCATAATTTCAAACCTCATAAACTCAAAATACAACTCATACTCTTAAATCATAATTACAAAACTCTACCGAACGCAATTTAAGTCCATCACAACCATTGCTCATGTAACTGGAAAATTTATGAGATAGTCCTGGTTAAATTCATATGATAATATTTTAAAATTACCAAATAATCAGAGTAATTTAAACATAACTTAGGCCTTGTTTGTAGGGAATGATTTTTAGCCAAAAAATATTACTAATTGTCCCATTACTTTCTTTACTGTTTTTAACATGTCCTTTTATAAAAAAAGATTAAAGAATTAATTAAAATAGTTAATTTTCAAATGAGGCTTACTTACAAGTTAGAAAGCACATGGACAAGAATGAATTGTAAACTTGAGTCACACCAGGCTCCTTTTTTTTTTCTCTCCAGTCATCAGTTGGGCTCTTTTTCTCTCCAATGATATCATACCATGATAATCTTATTATTTTATTTATTTATTTTAAGAAAATATAAGAACATTAATAAATATTAAGTGTTGAGACCCGTAAGATGAGTACAATAATAATACATCACACAATAATAAACTATAATATATGAATTATTATAAGATTATTCTTATATGCTGAATAAAATTTGCATAAAATTTAATGATATATTTGCATAAAATTTAATGAAAAGCAGGGTCCTAAAAATTACTCAAGGATACAAAAAAATTATATGGTGATCTTTGGCAAATTTACATGGTGCCCAACTTCTTGTTGATCGGTTAAAGGTTTGGGATCTAGTATTTTTTTGTTAGGATTGTACGTAATTAGTGGTGTAAAATAGTATTCCAAGACTACCTAATTATATAAAAGTAATGTTAAATTGTGTTTGGTTAAAGAATTTGATAAGGTAAATCAAACAAAAAAAGAAAATGCAATCCCACTTTTTTAATTTCACTTGTCAAATTCTCCGACTAAACACGATACTCGACAAATTCTCAAACCAAACCCAATTAAATGACTTAAAATAAAAATTACTAAAAATTCTATATAATACGTAGTCGATGTCGCTTTTTACTCCAATTACGAAGCGGTCCATAATTATGAGCGAATTACAATAACAGTCCTTTTAATTTGGGATTCATGTCACTTTGATCTCTGATTTTTCAATTGTAACACATTTGATCATGAATTTTGAATCTTATTCCAAATAAGAACAATTGATGATACTATTGCTCAATTTCAAGGGTAAAAATTTGATAAAATATAAATTAATTTGATAAAAATAATTGTCAAAAAAATATTTTTGAATTTTAAAAAATTATTTCTACCTACCAAAGATAAACTTTTGTAAAATTGATAAATCATTTATGCATTTATTTATTTTACTAAATTAATTTTTATTATGTATTTGGATGACGATCATATAATGTGTGATTGTTAGATTTTTAACGTGTAATTAATATATTTAATATATGAAATGTTTTTAGTTTTGAATTTTTTGATTTAATAATGATATCAAAATTGTCGTCATATTTGAGTTTTGAAAAAATATAAACTAGTTTAATAAAAATAAAAATAACCATCCATGACATGATCCCATCCAAACACATAATAAAAATTAATTTGTTAAAAAAAATTAATTGCCAAGTTTAGCATCTTCCAAAAAATTCAAAAAGTCACTATCCTATTTAAGTCATATCATCTCATTTAAGTCACATCACCTCTCTAACACATCACTTCAAACCCAACCCAAATCCAACCCATATTTCATAAAAAGTCAAAAAGTGCACTTATTTAGTCTTCCCAAATGTGTAAAAGATTTATCACTTTTACATAATTTTATCTTTGGTGGGTAGAAATAATTTTTAAAAATTCAAAAATATTTTTTTGACATTTATTTTTGTCAAATTAATTTATATTTTATCATATCGACGACTTGCCCTTAAAATTGAGTAATGGTATCTTCAATTATCTTTATTTAGAACAAAATTTAAAATTCTGAATCAAACATGTCACAATTGAAAAGTCAAAAACTAAAATTATACAAATCTCAAACTATAGAGACCATTAATGTCATTTACCCTAAAATTATTTGACACTCAATTGGTTTTAATGTAATTTGCCCCTTAATTATTTAACATTAGCTAAAATTGAGTAATGGCATTATCCATTGTCCTCATTTTTTGACTTTATTTTGATGATCTGAATCGTTTATATTGTAAGGTTTGTCGAGCATATCATTCATGTAAAAATTCAAGTTAATCGGATATCTGTAACCCCATGATCAGGTCCTAATTGTTTTAAAAAAATTATTAAAATCATATTAACCGTTTATTTTTTGAAAAACTAATGTGCTCTTTTTTTGAGATTACAAATGTCCAATTTACTAGATTTTTTGCATGAATGATCTATTCGGCGAACCTTACAATATGAATAGTTAGAATCATCGAAAAAGATTCGGAACACGCCTCCAATAAGCTCACAGCAGCCTGCTATGTCCCCCAAACGGTGTCGTTTGTTTAACAAATTATACTTCACCCCCCTCTACAAACATGTGTTACATTTTACTTTTAAGTGACAAACTTAATCCAAAATCATAAGCTAGTCTAAATACACTAATTTGAAATCAACTTAAAGCCATCTAAAAAAATAATAATAATTAAAGCAATCTAAATCCATAAATAGATTTAAATAGCTTATATCTTGCAAATTCAATTAAAATGGATCAAACATAAGCATCTATTTAGACGTTTAAATAAATTCCACCACTGCCACCACCACAGCCATTCCACGACCATTTGTTACAGAGAAAAATTAATAAAGCAAACAAATTGGTCAAATTTATATGTCCAACCCCTATCTAATTCAACCTAGCCCGTTTAACCCTATATATTAAATGGGTTGGGTTTGGTTGAATTGGGTTGTTTTAAATGCATGACCCATTTTCAAATTTTGTAATACCTAATCAAGGTCAAAGAAACACGTAACACATAAACAAACAAATGCACAAAAAAAAAAAAACAAATCACACACACACACAAGAAGAGCACAAGGTTAACTTGGTTCAACCCAAACTTGGGTTACATCTATAACTATTGTGATTTTTCACTTTAATAAAAAAAAAAAGTTACAAGAGATTAGAAAAGATATATGCTTTCGCTAGACTATAAATACATACAAATTAAGACATGTTATAAATGCGAAATACCATAAATATCCTTACTCTAAAATTTGAGTGGTGTGTACTAAATAAAATCCGCAGTACCCCAAAAAAGGGGTTAATTAATGTGACAGAGGTTGACCCTTGTGAAAACAAAAGAGGTCAAAAACAGCAAACCCAAAAAGAAAGTAAGAAAACCTGTGATGATTTTTGTTAAAAATGTGAAGTCACAATTCACAACTACCAGCATGCATTGATATGCGATGGTTAAACAGTTTTCAAAAAGAGGACATGCACCACTTGCCCCCTATTTGACTGGTAGATGGACAGATCATCTAACCAAAAGAAAGCTATCGTTCTTCATTGTATTCATGGACTTCTAGTTGCACTTCACTTAATATTTCCTTTATTTTTTATTTTATATCCTAACAAAAACAGTAAAAAATATATCATTTTCACACACAACAAAAATTTTAAAATAACAATAATAATAATAACTATATACAGTACCTATTTCATGTAATGCAGATTTATCACCATGGATGATGATGAGCCTCTTCTCTGCAAGACAACAGGAGGAGAAGAAGCATCAAACAAATCAACACCAAAGAGAGAATTCTCACCGGCTTTCATCGACATCACTCCGTCTTGGCAACAATCAAATAACCAACTTATCAACAATGAATCTGCAATTCCAATCATCACAACGCCACATTCTTCGTCGTTGATGAACCTCCTAGCCAATTTGAACAGAAAGAGAAGGCTCACCCGGCGCTCCAACTCCGCTCCTTGTGTCATAACTGATGTGAGGGAAGCTTTCCACAATTCCATAGATCCAAGACCTGCAAGAAAATCAACACCATCGATCGTCAGGCAAGCCTTCATTGGAGTAGTTATATATGCAATAATTGGCATGTCAGTATACCTATTGAAAAGCGAAGGTTTTAAGGGGGACGCCACATTGAAGCCAGTGGACGCCTTGTACTTCACTGTCGTCACTCTTTGCACCATTGGCTACGGTGACATTGTTCCGGACACATCATTCACAAAGCTATTTACTTGTGCTTTCATCTTAGTTGGTTTTGGTTTGGTAGATATATTGCTTAATGGGTTGGTCACTTATATTCTAGATAGGCAAGAGGCTGTTTTGTTGAGCACAGTGGACGAGAATCAATTCAATACGATGGTTCGAGCATATGTGATTGATCCAGCAAAGGGGAGGATGAGAATAAGGATGAAAGTGGGATTGGCTTTGGCAGTTGTTGTAGGTTGTATTGCCATAGGGACAGTTACAGTGCATTTATTGGAGGATATGAGTTGGGTTGATAGTTTTTATCTGTCTGTAACATCTGTTACGACAGTTGGTTACGGGGATTATGCCTTCACGACATTAGCAGGCAGGTGTTTTGCTATAATTTGGCTTTTAGTCAGCACATTGGCTGTTGCCAGGGCATTTTTGTATCTCACTGAGCTCAGGATTGACAAGAGGAATCGTAGAATTGCCAAGTGGGTTCTTCAGAAGAAGATGACTCTTGGGGATTTAGTGGCTGCAGATCTAGACCACGATGGATCGATCAGGTAATTTTGAAAGAAAATTGTTTCTCTATATGTAAGTGTTGTTGAATTAACATACAAGTTCAGAAGAATTCTAGCACGCACATTGGGCTGAGACTCCTTTTAACATGAAGAAATTTAAAGATGTTCTCTGCACTAGATTTTCTACAAACAGAGTGAAACCTGTTGGCATAAAATTAGAATATCTAGAACCATGCAGAAAGTATATGGAGAACTACATATGAAAAAAAACACATTAGACAGGCACAAATATGATTGACCACTTTCATATCCCAGATCCACCTTAGCATTTCAGAGAGAGAGAAATGACTCCCCCAAAAGTCTCAACAATTACTAGCATACAATAGATGAATGTCATAATTGTGATGATTATGAACCTCAAAAGTCAATTCAACAAACACTGCGACCAACTCAATTTCAACAATATATTCAACTCCTAATGAATCTAAGTAAAATCTAGCAAACACAATAGAGAGATGATATTTTTAACATGGAAAAACCATAATTGAGGAACATAAAATTGGGATAAAAGACCATGGGCACTAGGCCACCAATCAATCCATTAGATCAAATGAGCAATTACAAGAGTCTTACAATCACCTGTGAATCTACACCCAATAGACTTAAGCTCCTCTTTCTGAATCCACACTCATTGCTCTCTTGGGATTGATCTCCAATGCACCAAGTCTACGGCACGAAAACCTCTAGAATCCACCAGATGTATTCAAAATTGCCTTTGGAACCCACCAAAGGACTTCAACCAAGTGTAGAAAAGAGAATTGTAGACTTGGAGAAGATCGATTCAAGCTTGTTGATTGATAGATTTCATAGTTGATCTCCACGGGTTGAAGAAACCTCTCTCCAAATCCAAATAACTCCGTAACTATTTAACACAAATAGAGAGAGAATGGGAGAGATCCAATCTGAAAATTAGTAGTTTCATGCTTTCATAACTGAATCTAACTCTAGTAACGTAACAAAGAGGATGAAACCATGGGACCACTACATAGGTGGAATTTGATAAGCTGGCCATTTGAGCAATGAATTCACATTCTCTGCATTTCATAGCAGGCTTTGAGATCCAAAGAGGAGGAAACCATGGGACCACCGCTCAGGTGGTGGATCCTTAGACTCTGGATTTTGGAACGACTACTCGGACCTTTGTAGATAATGCCCAAACTTCCTTGCAACCTAAGTCCATGGATGTGATTCACACATGTACTTATAACGACTTACAAATCAAATGAATTTGAACTACACCATAAGTGTTTACCATAGAGGGACTCTAGGTCTTAATAATCTCCCATTTTGGCAATTCTGTGACAAAATACTTCTAGACAAATCATATCCTAATCCCAACCCCAAAGAATAAACAAACTTGTATGAGCCAAGTTGATGAGCTAGCTCCAAGAAGCTTCTCAGCAAGAAACAATACCTTGGGAAGCACTAAACAAATAACATGATATTTATATTGACAATTGAGTTGACTTTGTTCAATTGAGTTGACTCCTTGAGATTAGGCCTCTTATTTTTCCCTTTTTTTTTTTTTTTTTTTTTTTTTGAATTTCTTAGTGAAGATTTCCATCAACTCAAGATCAAATTCAATTTCATCATCAAATTCCTCATCAACATGAGAGCTATTAAAAGCAACACTTTTCAATTTATTGTTCGGCACAAATTAACCTCATAAGTTTGAAGATTACCAATCAATTGCTCCACATTTAGCTTATCTACGTCTTGAATCTCTTCAACTGTGGTATCCTTTTATTGAAATCTTTCTGGCAATGATCTCAAAAAAAAAAAGATTAACTAGTTTGGATTCCAAATTTTCTCACAAAAGTTGAGGCTAGATTTGACAATGTCACTCAATTTAGTGTAAAACTCATCAAAGGACTCATTCTCTTCCATTCTCAAAGTTTCAAAACTAGTGAGCTTTTGAAGTTTTAAATGCTCGACTGTTTTGGTCCCTTTTGAGTGTCTTGCAAGATATCCCATACCTCTTTTGCAATTTCACAAATACAAATACGTCGAAATTCTTTTGATGTAACATTACAAGAAAGGGCATTGATAACCTTGCTATTCCTTACACAATTCTCAAAATCAACCTTGTCTAATTGTTAAATGGTCTAGGAGTAGTCATACCATCCTTTGTAACAATTGGCTCCTTCTAACCATGTTGATAGCCTAACTTTTTTAGCAATTGACTTTCATATTCTCATTTGGGCTTTCTATTATGAATAGTTTTTTTTTATTATTTAATTATGAATAGTTGCAACCATCAAAGAGTACAATAATGGTTGAATTGCCTTTTCCAATTGAATCCACATCAATAAATCAACCAAATCTTGCTCGTAGAGTTTTTTGGAAAACAAGGTTTAAAGCGACCCGTTCTAATATTAATTGAAATTCCCTTTGCGATGATTGACTTAGAATCATGAATCTCAAAGTGAAATCAACAAACACTATGTGAGCAACTGATGTAGCACAAGATTTTAAGAATTTCTATATTTTTAGTTTTAATATTTTTGATATATTTATTTGATTGGATTCTTGTCATTTTGCATAAATATTCTAGAATCAGGTTTCTTCATTTAGATTTATTTTGCTTTCCTAATATGTAGATTAGTTGTTTTCCAAGAATTAGACTAGTTGGATTGTTCCTTAACTTTAGATTTCTTGGTGTCCAAGAATACTTGGTCTCTAAGGTTTAGATTATTATAAATACCAATGTCAACCTTACGGCAAAGACAACTTTTATCAATAATATTTCAATTTCTCTTCGAGAATTATACTTATTCCTGTGGATTCAAGGTTTTCTTTCAGTGGATTCAGAATTCGGCTACTAGAACGATATCTAGTGCCTATTGTATTCCACTGCATCAACAACTGAATTCCAAAATAATTTCAACAATATAATCAGTTCCTAATGAAGCTATGAAAATTAAAATCTACCTGAAAGACAAGATTTTTTACATGGACAAACCTCAATTTGGGAACCTCCAATAAGATCAAAAACCATAGGCCCAACGTCACCAAATCAATCCACTAGATCGAATGAAACATCATGAGAGAGACTCAACGTTCATTGCTCTCTCTGGATCGATCTCCAATGCACCGAGGACACCACCTCTGAAATCCACCAAAATTACCTTTGGAATTCACCAAACATCTTCAATTTCCTTTAGAATCACCAAAGAAATTCAACCAAGTATAGGAGAAGAGAACTATGGACTTGGAGATAATCGATACAAGCTTGTTTATCCATAGATCTCATAATTGATCTCCATGGGTTGAATAAATCTGTCTCTAGATCACTTTGTAACTGTTTCACACCAGTAGATAGAGAATGTGAGTCATCCAAATACAACATGAAAATGAACAGTTTCCATACTTTTATAACTGAATCTAACCAATATAGACCACTCAAGTGTTGGGATTTATTCCATATACTGCCAATGCGAACGGAAGCACATCAACGCACATACCAAAGAGAAAAATAATCACACACAAATTTACATGACTCGGCCCAAATTGGCTACATCCACGGGAGAGAGAGTTTTCACTATGAATAAAATAAAAAATACTTGTGAGATGGCCAAAATACTCAAAACCCACACCATTATCCAAACCTCATGCTTAAGGGTAGTTGATCTCTATTTTTCCCTCACCTCAATCTCTCAATCTCTCTTAGAAAAAACCCTATAGTCCACATGACTATTTATAATAGTCTACCCATGAAGATCCTAACCCCATATAATTAGGTAACCAAATCCTACATATATAAGGTTTCCTTGTAGATTTCAGACTCTACTATCCTAACCCAAATACATGTATAAACCACCCTAATAACTGTATGGGACCCACCTTTGATCACATGGGTGGACTAATCCTAACAATAAGCGGTTTCTTCACCGCTTGAGTAGCGAATTTCACGTTCTTTGTATTTTGACAACATGCTCTAGGATCCACACAGGGTGGCTTCTGGACTGCTGAACTACGTCAACTTGTCAATGACTGCTTCAACCTCAATAGATTATGCCCTGGCTTGCTTACAACTTAATTCCATGGATGGGATTCACACATGTAAACATACAAGAACTTACAAATCAAATGAATTTGGATTACAACATAAATAAATGTTCATCATAAGGGATTTCCAAACTACAGCAGAGGGACTCTAGGTCCTAATAGAAGAAAACTTAAAAATTAGATGAAAGCACTGAGAAACATGAAGATGTACATAAGAGAAGTAAAAGAAGAAAAATACGGAGATAAAATGTTGACCTTTACAATAAAATATTGACAGGAAAGGAAGAAATCTATCAACCAATTCATAAAAATTATAAGCTACTGATGTGGAAATCAATATTTGGTTCACTCAATGAGGTGTGGTGGTTTGTAGACGGGAGCCATTATACAAGTTAAGGATTTCACTATCAATTAGAGATGAATGACAATGACAGGTGAAATGTAGAGTGTCACAGTTGATGATGGAAACAAGAAAAACAGGTTGTGACTTGAGCAAATAACGGATGTGATCAATTCATACATGGGATGGGATACTAAAGTGCGCCGCAGGCGGCAAAGAACAAGGCATCATAAGACCAACTGAGTTTTTTTTTTATAAAGATTTTGAGTGGCTCTTGGGTCACGGGAATAAAATATTGCTGTTCAGAAATGGTGGAAAACCCAATTTACATGAGTCCTAGCTTTTGATTTCTAGTACTTGGCTTTTCATGGAGCGTCCTTTTTTGTTGTGAACCTGTGATGTTTGAACTGAATCTCCTTGTGGAGAAAGGATTTTAAGCTATTCAACGTGTTGATAGCTCAAGAGTTCATCCTATGAAAGAGTAACCATCTAGATCAAATTTGCTGATAAATTGATTTGAATATGGGAACCTGGTGTAGGAATTGGACACAAAAGCAAAAAACACCATAACCAAAATGAACATTCAGAATGTGATGTGGGGAAATGATTGAGAGAGAATTCGGAAACCTATTGCAAAATTCGACTGAACCATAATCAAAGCTTTAAGATGTTGGAGTAGTGTGATCCTCATAAGTACTGAACAATAACAACTCGATTTCGAATTTTGGAGTAAGGGTGTTTATTGTATTTTTTGCACTTGTAACATGTAGCCATAATTTGTATGTATTTATAGTTAAGGAGAGCCATCTATCCAATGTAATCTCTTGTAACCTTCCTGATCATAGTAAAAATCGCAACAGTTATCCTTCGTTTCGGGATGTACCACGTAAATCTTGTGTTCTTTGTGTGCGCATATGATTTATCTTTCTTGTACATTTATATGTTTTATGTTTTACCGATCCAAATTAGGTGTTACAGATTCTGCATATGAAGGAGGGCCTATAATAATAAAATAAAATAAAATAAAAAAGGTGAAAGTTGTGTCATACTCCTCCTAATCATTCAGCAGTGTCATCATCTCTAATTTCTTCTTAATTGATGATTCAAATGGGTGCAGCAAATCAGAGTACATCATCTACAAGCTGAGGGAAATGGGGAAAATAGCAGAGAAAGACATCATGCAAATCTGCACCCAGTTTGATACATTAGACAACACCAACTGCGGCAGACTTACCATTGCCGATCTCATGGAGGAGAGTGACGCTGATTGATTCAGATCCACTGCTAAATTTCCCTATTTTAATGGAAATACAGCAACAGCAACATCATTTTCCGGATCATTCGCCTTTGGAGCAAATTTTCCTAGAATCCAAACAGAGCGAGAAGATCAAGCATTGCGTTCCATTTTTCTCTGTGCAGAACAGAAGACAGATCATGAAAGGACACTCATCGAGTAATCTTAGGGAGAAAAGATAAGCTTTCCATTCCCATTCATCTACTAACGGAGAATGTGCATTGCATGTTCATAATTATAATTGTTAGATTAGAATTCTATTTATTTAATTTGTATTTGTCTATCAATGTTATGATTATTTTACAAAATTCAAGTCTAATGAAGTTAGGAAATCAACTGAGCTGCTCACCTCTACACTTACATTTATGATAGGAGGTAGGAGCGAATTCGTATTTGATTAATGATTCATCGACTGAATTTATTTAATCCGAATTCTTTTGAATGAATTTCTTATCGGGAAAGAAAACTCTTCTCAGAAAATGACTTGTTAATTTGGTGGATGTAGCAGTGTTATTCTTGTTTAATGTTTACATTGATAATTTGTTTTTTATTGTAAGATTATGTTATCTCATATTAAAATCGGTTTCGAAGTTTGGTCTTATATGATAACTTATAGGAAAAATTAGTCTAAGTTTCTTCTACCATTTTTAGTAATGGAAGAGATTCATAAAATTATTTTTTGATATCTAAGGTCCCTAAACATATATCAGAGAAATTTGACTCTCTGTCTCTTCTCACTCTCTCTCTCTCTCTCCCCTACATCAAACCAGTACTTCGTCTATCTCCCACCGCTGTCGAGGATCACCATCATTTGCACACCACCCATCGCAGCAACTCCGAACACACCGACACCGCGACCCAAGTCGCTGTTGGCTCACACTAACACCATACCAGCTCGCCAATCAGCACCGTCTTCGTCGACCTTCCAACATATATACATATGTGTATGTATATAAGTATAGAAATTGTCCCTCACCTGGACGAAATTCGCGAAAATTTCGGAACAAAGTTGGAGCATAACACTGAAAATTGAATCAATTTCACAAAAATAGTCTTTGAGATTGATGAATTACAAGAATAATATATATATATATATATTTGTATATATATAATTGTGTATATATGATGAATATGTGAAGATGAGGTGGTGATCGATAAGATGGATCAGGCTCAGCAAAGGGTGAACGGTTTTGCTTTTCTCCACAACCAACAGTGCCTTCCAGTCAGGGCTGGCCCTGAGATTTAGGGGGCCCAAGGCGATCTTCAGAAATGAAGCCTTTCTTATATTAAAAAAAAAATTGATGGATAAAACAATAAGTTGCAACAACTTTTTTATTTATTTGTAGTCACAAAAAAAATTACTTACAACAACTTCTTCATCAACCAAACATGAACTTTCTCTTTGTTTCTTGCCACCAAAAAATTTATTAAGCATTCCCGATTGAGATTGAGTAAAATTTTCTAATTTTTGCTTCTTTTCTCTTTTTTCATATCCAAAAATATACTTCCTAAGAGGCATGACTACTCCATAATCACAAATTCACAAATTTTCTATTTTTCTAATTTTTAGAAACTTTCTAATGTTTTTATTTCTAGAAATTTTCTAATATACTTCCAGAAATTTTTCAATTTTCTTTCAGTGACCCACGTTCTTAACCTCGGTGGATATTATAAATTATAATGTGTTTCTTGCTTTTGGGCCCATATCAGTTGGGCCTCTAATCTGTCATAATATATTTTATTTTTTTTAGGCCCCATATACAATTGGACTTAGATTATTTGAATTTTTTTTTTATATATCTAAAACATAAAATCATATTTTTGGGCCCTATTTTCAGCCCAAATCTGGGGGCCCAAGGCGCATGCTTTTTTGGCCTGCTCTCAGGGCAGGGCCTGCTTCCAGTGGATACGCAATGCAAATCTTCTTGATCTTTTTCCCATGGCCTTCCAACTGTGGGTTCAAATACAAGTGCTGGCAATATGGGAAGGTTTGTCTGGGATTTTCTCTGGGTTGTGGAGTCCAGAGAAATTCTTTGGGTTGAGAGAATTTCTCTGGAAATATTTGTCTGGGAATTTTCTGTGGGTGAGAGAATCTCTGGAAATGTTTGTCTGGGAATTTCTCTGAGATGATGAAGATACAATACTGTGCTTGAAAATGGGAAAAGATGTGGTTTAACTTGGTACTTATCATCAATTAGCATAATATTCTGTGGATGAAAATTATTTTTCACTTATTTTTCTTGGCAACCAAACAAACTTTATGCTTTATAGTTCACTTGAAATCCAAAGAAAATTCAGAGAAAATCTCTAGATTGGAATCCAAAATTTCTCTGACCTTCCTAGAATTTCTCTGGACAGAAATTCTCTACCATGTTTAATTTTCTCTGTCATGTGTAATTTTCTCTGGTTTTTTAGATAATGTGACTCATCCAATATACAGAAAAGATGAATATGAGTTCCTCACAGCTCAAGTTCATCTCTCTCTCTCTCTTTCGTTACTTGATCTCTACACTATCTCACTAATCTTCAAGTAGTTCGATTTCATCTCTTATTCTCTCCAGAGAAATTCGGGAATTTCTCTGGAGAGAATTTCTCTGGAAAAGGCTAGAGAAATTCCCATAATTTGCTTGACATCAAGAGTGAAGGCAAGCAAAGCATGCTGCTCCGTGCGTCTGACTATCCTTGGAAATACCGGCTTCAAAACTGCCAGTAGTGGAGTTGATGAAATCATGATGGCCAGGAGCATCAATGACAATGCAATAGTATTTGGTGGTCTCAAACTTCCACAAAACAATATTATTGTTCCCTGTTGAAAAATATTTCTCCAGCTGCAAATCATGCATGGATATACTTTGCTTCAAGAAATGATGTTGAAAAGAGAAAACATGATGGGATGAAGTGCACAAACATGCCTGCAGAAGTATTCTTGATGTTGATACAATAGTTAAACATGTTGCTGTTAAGGGAAATAGAAGCAAATCAGTGTTGTTTGATGCTTGCATTCTTACCATGTTCACATTCAGAGGTCTAGAGAAATTTCAGGGAGAAATTTCTCTGGATGAAATTTCTCTCGATGGGAATTTCTCTGGAGAGAAATTTCTCTGGGAAGTCCAAAGAAATTCTCTGGATGAAATTTCTCTGGATCAAATTGAGGGATCTTAAACATTATGAAAATATTTGGTGTCCTTTATACTATAAAATCTTAATACCAGGGACCTTAAAAAAAAAACTCCCCTAAATTATATCGATAGTCTCTGTATTTTATTTATCCTATTTTAGTTTTTGTGATTTTCATTGACTCGATTTTGACATTATATTTATGATTGTTTCAATTTGATTCAATTGATGATCATGATTGTAGCTTTTGAAATAAAATTGTTAATAATTTGGTTAATATTAACTCATTGAGTTGAATAAATTTATAACTTTGAACTATAAAAGTATGACACATATCGTTTATGTTCATATTTTCTATAAAATATATATATATATATATATATATTAATAATTGTAATCAATTAAATCAAATTATGAAAAAAATTATAAATTTAGAGTCAAAACCGAGTTAATTGAGATTATTGAGACCAAAATGATATAAAGACCAAAATATAGATATTACTGATGTAATTTGCTATTTTTATATCAAATAGGAATGTAAAAATAAATCAATTTCAGAATTAGACACAATTCTTATGTAAAATTGATTTTGTATAAGATTTTAACTGGTTACTAATTATGTGTTCTTCTAATTTTGTGATCGATTTTTATAAACCAACAAACGTATATTAAATAGTTAAAAAAAAAAAAAAAACAAATGTATTGGAAGTGTACAATGACAAACGCTAAAGAAGTTGCTTCAGTAATCACTAGAGTGGTCAAAAGTGCGCTAGAACAAAGTACTTAGGTTGTTCCGTTGTTTTAATTTTTCCTGAACATTCATCTGACAAGTATTTTAACTTAATTTGTAAAAGTTATTCAATTATAGTTGACATGCTTTTAATTATAATTTTGATATTCAAACTGTCAAAAAGAACTTATATAAGTTGCCTAAGAAAAAAAAAAAAACTTATAATAACAAATTTTATTTTATTTTTTCTGCCCATTTTTGTAGGATGAACAAACAATAGCAAAGGATCGATGTTTCCATGAGGGTGTTTATCACACACAAGGAGTTTGCCGAATCATCAGAAGAGAGAACTGAAAATGAATTGCGAGTGAATAAATGGAATTCCACCACACCTATTTATATACATTGTTGGTGGCTCTTCCTCACAGTCACAAATTTTCTTCATGGGTTGCCAGTATTCATGAATCAACACATCCATTGAAATGTTGTGAGCAGTGGGTTTAGAATTCGTATACTCCTTTATGCAAATCTCTTTGTGCGGGAAAAAAGTTTCTCGCCCATGTGTTTAGGTATGATGCACGAGACTGTACCATTGTTACGGTGTGATCACCTCTTGTTCCATCAATCAATTTTAAAATACATGTGAAGGGTTTTTGGCAAGCCCTCAATAACAAAAAAGTGAGAAAGATGCTCATAAGGTAGCTCGCGCAGTTAATCCGCCGCACGGGCTCCATCAATGACATATGTTTTTGACGGTCGACGGTTGGAAAATAATGGATTTTTGTCAACTTTAATTCGAAATTAAAGTAGGATTCAATCGTCGGTTGAGATGAGTCTGAGTGATTTTATATTCTCTTAAGTGAGAAGGCTACAATAGAAAAATAATAAACTGAAATCATTGAGTTGTGAATGAGAATTATCTCATAAAGTTAGGTATATTAATAAAGTTGGGCTTAAATTTAGACATAATCTTGGTTTAGACTGGGCTTGTGCTTGTAGATGTGCTGGGTTTGGTCTTGGTCTTGGACTTGGACTTAGACTTAGACTTAATCTTGAACTTGGGTTAAATTATATTGTGTTGGGTTTAGCTTGTGCATGTGCTTGAGAATTGGGCTTAGATCGGGTTGTAATCCAACATTAGTATCCATTTTGTGACCTATCTAATTGGTTTATTCAAGTATCATTATATATAGGTTTTGTAACTCTCATTTTTTTATGATGTGATTAATGACCATATTAGTGGCCATAGGTTTCAACCTTTGTAACTCTAGTCCTAATGACTACAGTTGATGGCCTTAGTTAATGATATTTGATGACTCTATTGATGTATAGCCGTCATGGTTAGGGATTTACATACTTGTATAAATAGAGGTATTTCCCCTCTAACTTGGAAAGATAATTTTGGAGAAGTTTTTTATGGAAAATGGAGATGGTGTTTTGAGATAAAAAGTTGGAGATGTTTTTTTCCCACCAAAGAAAAAAAAAATAATCTTCTTTTGCTAGCCTCTTCTTTGGTTCTGGTTAGAGAGAGTGCAACCATTGTCAAGTTCACTGAAATTATTTAGAAGGTGTTTCTGCATTAATTAGTTTCGACTGTCGTATCTTGGGAGATAGACGCTGGCATACT